GATTTTAACCATGGGTGTCAAAAATTTCTTTAGAAGGCATACAATGTGTGCTAAACATGCCAATGCAGTGCAAAACTTTTGTATCCATGGCATAACTGTCCTTGAAAAGTGGAAGAGCTAATAATAAACATGATAGAGTGGATAAAATTCTGAGAAATTCACATCGGAAATTGGGAAAATTCATGCTGCCTTTAGAATTGCTCTTACTGAATATTGGCAATCAGTAATTGCTTTCAAGACTCCGTTCAATTTGAGCTAGACAAACATCCATACCTGCCTGGAATCCAAAGTCAGCTAGATTTTAAATCCACACATCAATACTTTTCCATCAAATGACTCAGTCAGCTATTGCAGCATCAATAACCAACGGTAATTGGAAGTTTTCTCTATCAAAATAAAGGGAAAGTAAGAAAAGAAAATAAATAAAGGAAAGAAAAAAGAAAGTTCTAGGTGAGTGTCTAGTAGTAGGTGACATCCTGAGAAGGAAAATAGTGAGCAGCTCAAAGAAAAGTGACTATCTTGTGAAGGAAATAATTAACTATAGAAGAACCAAAGCAGATTGAGAAGACATATACCTGTTTGTGAAAACCAATTATGGTTAATTTCCGTGGCAGTGACAGTGAAGTTTTGCTCTAGAAATGGGAAGAAGTCAGATGTCTGCTAGCCTGTGGTCTTTTCTATCTTTTGCAAACCAGCTACAGACACCGGAGAAAATGATAACATCCTCCATGGGTGCGGATGCTGTATTTTTATTCGGTGAAATGACGTCTCTAATTTCTATATCTTCTTCTTTGTCATCTTTTGTAATTTCTTGAATCTAAAAGACTCATTATTAATTGTTGTAAGGTATTGCAGAAAGTTACTAAAAATATAAGTCATTTCCTAAGTAAGAATAGTAAGAGATTCTTAAATGTGTAGTCACAGAACCTCTGGATTCACAAGCATTCTAAGCCTATAAAGAGGAGTCAAAGTAAAGGATTAGGAAATTAAACAAGAGAGGGCAGCAAAGATAGTCTTGAAAATTAGTGAGAAAACCTAGCCCACTCCCATCTTCCATTTATGCACCATCAGAACACCATCTTAAAACCTTCTCTACCATATTAGTCGTTTACCGTTTTAAAAACCTCTATGCATCCTTCGAGAGTGCTGATCAAGAAGGCAAACCAAAGCAAATCCAAACATAACGGTTCAAAAAACAATAGCCAAGAAGAATGTTTTAAAGGTTTTTTCGAGGCAGACATCTATACTATTCCATCTACCTAATTCTAGTGTTTGCATTGCATTGCATGACATCTTCGAGTTTGATTGGTTTTGGCTGCATGCTCTCTACTATCACCTTTGGCTTGCCGGAAACATCGTTCTGTCATGAGTGCATATGATTGCCTTTTAAACGAAAGTTGAATGCTTTGGTTAAGAGTAGTTTAGAATGCAGGCTTAACATATAGTTTTATTTAGGCATGTTTTAGACACTTTTTTGATTTACTGGATTTTCTGCTATGGATATATGTTTTCGCTTATTAGAGTTGTTCTGTGTACATTTTGTTTCATATTTTCAATTCTTGTTTTCATTTACTTTGAAAATTTGGTAACAAAAGCTTATTTGGTTCGTATATTTTGATTTTTATGAAGGTAGAATTGAATAGAGAGAAGCGTTTGCCAAGAAGCTAGAAAGAAGCAAGCAAGCCATGGCTTCCTCACAAGGAATGCAATTGCAGCTACATCCCATCATCACCATGCTAGTACTAGTACAAGTAGTAGTGGTGGTGGTATTGTCATTATCAGCAGCAACAATTGCAGCACCACCAACAGAGCAAGATCTGAAAAATCTTGGCTGCTTGAACCATTGCGGGAATCTAAAAATTTCATACCCATTTGGTGTGAAAGAGAAATGTTATATTAATGAACATTTACATACTCAATGGCAGGGACATGCTAGTTATTTTACAGCATTGGCTATTTAATAAAGGATTGAAGCATTTAAATAAGATAACCTTGTTATTGTTTTGTTTTGGTAAATCTGATTTTAGTATATGTTCTGATGCAGGCGTGTAGACCAGTGAAGATTAACAATGAGCTCTCTCATCAATTTGAATTTAACTCATCCAAGCTTGAAATTTATGTTATAAGCAGGAATACATTTTTGAGTTGGAGATAATTTTCTTGGTAGTAATATAGTTGGATCCATCATTATAGCTCAACACTTTTCTCTACTAATGTCTTTGCTAAAACATGATTTTTGGATATGTTATTTTGTGCTTAATGGTGATTAGATATTAAATTGAATGGAAAAGTGAATTAATGTTGCATTTTGAATGGGAATTATTATTTCATACTAGTGCTATTTTTTAATTTTATTTATAAGTATTTTTTGGTTCAATCACATAAAATTAGCACAATTTAAAAATAAAAATAAAAAAGGCTGTCACGGCGTTTCTAAAAACGTAGCTAAAGGATTTTTTAAGAAGAGATACGACGGCGTTTTAAAAACGTCGCTAAATGGCATGGTGACGTCACGGAACTATTAGTAGAACTTTTAGCGGCGTTTTTAGAAAACGCCGCCTATAGTCATACAGCGACGTTTTTGAAGCGCCACAAAGTTATAGCGACGGCCGCATCTTCGGCGTAAAATGGACGTGGGTATTTCTGCAAGTGCAGGATTGGTTACAAAGGAAACCCGTACCTCTTAGATGGTTGCCAAGGTTCGTATTCAATTAGTTTCATCATATTGGATTCATTTGCTTTTGTTATTAGATATTGCTTATGATGTGATGCTTAATTTTCATATAGTCTTCTTCTCTATTTTTTTATTTTTTTTTATTTTTATAATTGTTTTGCAGACATAAAGGAGTGTGAAGATTCAAAGCTCAACATGTGTGAACACAAAAACAAATGTGTTGACATGCCACCTGGGAATTATACTTGTTCTTGCCTCAAAGGATACCACGGTGATGGAAGAACAGATGGAACGGGTTGCATTGCTAATCAATTTCTAGCGATTCAGATTGCGGTTGGTAAGTGTATATACGTCTGTGCCAAAATATCCTCTTCACAAATTTTCTAACTTAACTTGAGGAAAAAGTTTAGGTGAAGAGAAGGTTTCAAACACAGAATGCATAGAATGTGACACATTTGTGCATTATGTGTTTGAAACCTTTTGTGCACATAACGCATCTGTAACTTTAGTGGTGATGGCATTTATGTTTTCCTTATGGCAAATTTAAGTAAATATACAAGTACAACACATTTTATTCTTGAGTTGCGTTATACATAATGTAATTTCTTGTATCATTTTTTTATTCCAAGACATGGTAATGGAGTCCACATTAATGAATGCATATAAGGTCCATTCGCTTGTCTGAAGTGAGAAAATGATGTAAGAAATATGATTATATGTAATAATTTTCTATATTCTTTGAAGAAGAATATTTAGAATTACTAATTGAATAATGTTATACAAACTAATAAATCATACAAACTTTTCCATATTATTTAAATGAGTCATGTTATTTATAAGTTTCATTATTACATGTCACATCATTAATAAAAAAAATTATAAAATTTGTTTGTTTGTATAACATTTTCTGTGCTAATAATTGTGAATTGATACCACATAATTTTATTTTTATTTTCTTAATGAATTGTACCCGTGTATTGAATAAAGAGTAGTGTTAGTCTACTCTAAAAATTAGATCTATTTTTCAAACACAATAGTGTGACAGTATATTAGAATATCTAAAGCAACTCTCTCTCTCTCTCTCTCTCTCTCTCTATGTCACCAAGGTGCCTAGCCACACAACAATGTGTTAGCGAAGGCCCTCAACTTAGCCGACAAGCCAACATTGCACGTTGGGTCTTTAATAGCATCTTGAAGTGTCGTAGGGTCAAGCATGCCTCAATAGATGCATATTGGATGGCCACTTGGTCATGCGAAGCCCACAAGCCACCGAGGGTCAATCTCTTGCCTACGGCGTAGTCCTCGTGCCGACACGTGTGCTAGATTCCGCCTAAGGCCATTGCGCACCTTAGCGTTGCACCAGCGTGTAGCATGAGTAAGGCAACATCTCAATCCGTAGCTTGCTTGTAGCATAATGTAATCCTTCGATGGACTTAGTCAATGCATAGCTTGATGCCTTCATTCGATAGCCCACATATGCGGTGTCGCCTTTCAACCGCTTAGCTTAAGCCACGGGATCCCCTCATGCAAGGTTGAACCCAAACCAAGCACTAGAGTTGGCACACGAGGCCTTTAGTGGTGCCTCGATAGCCCATTCGGTTCAAAACGAGTCCCAAAGATGCCATATTGCGTGGACTCTCTCTCTCTCTCTCTCTCTCTCTCTCTCTCTCTCGTCTTCTCTAATTATCAATTAATTATCTCATTTACATATTATTGGATTTAGAAAAGTAAGCTTGTATATTGTTTTCCTTGAATAAAAGCTATGAAAAAGTCGCATCCTTCACTACAACAAGTTGGGTCTTGAATGACGAAATTTTTTTGTCTTCAAAGAGCTAATTTCGTCACTATAGATATTTGTGAGGAAATATTTTCGTCACCAGTTTCGTCATTGAATGTTTGTCACTAAAAACCAACGTGACGAAAAATAATTTCGTCACCAATGAAATTACTTCAGAACAGAGACATTCATGAGTTTAAATTGATTATATATTGATGAGTAGTATAATCCCTATTCGTTAATGAAAATACAATTTGGTATACTCTGTTTCAGTAATTGATGAGTCGTATATGTTCACAATGTGAAATTTTTTTTTTGATTTAATTGTTTTAATTTAGTTTTTTGCTTGATTTTGAGATATGTGCATTGTAAAGTTTTCGCTGATGCGTTGATCTGCACTATCAGATCTGGATTGTGCTTTCGGTCCTTTGTTTGGTTGTTGAGAAAACTAAGAAAAATTATTAAATAATATAAATCTGGATTGTTGAGCACAAGTTTCTTTTGAGATTTATGATAAGAAGGAATTGCAGTTTATGGGTAGAGTTGGAAATCAACAAACACAGTTTGGTTCTTCAAAATCATGAAGAGATTATAGCAGCCAGGTAATATTTTGTGCTTGTCATTTCGAAGTTTCTAATCATTTGTCTCAATTGAGGTGTTTTGTCATTTTTGTTACTGAATTGAGAATATTGATTGTACCTCTGGAATGCAGTTTGTAGTGCAGCGAAAAAACAAACACTGCAATGGGCTGCTTGGACACGTCAAGAGGAGGAAAGCTTCTGCACTGCATTGCGGCAAGTTGGCAAGGCATTTTTTGCTGACATGGTTTTTGGTTTTTGGAATTATTTCTTACGATATATCCTGACTCATATGATGTCTTTTAACAGAATTTCGACTTTGTCTTGATGACAAAAAATTCTAAAGATACTAATGCTACAATGCTTCAATGGTAACCAGAAACTATGCCCTCTACGTAATGTCTATTTTATATATTTTGGTAACTCTGCAAATTTCTCTTAAACTGGCAACATGTATGTGCACCTATGTTCCTTTATTTTTTATTATATTTCTAAGGAGATGTAGTGATGTTGAATGAACTTATGTAGGGGTTATTCTGTTGAATGAAGCCCTCATCTAATTGAGTAGGTTTCATCTTCAACTGCCTAGGTGGGATGTACTTTAAGACTACCATTAAAGACTCTGAATAAGAGTTGTAGAGTTGTCCAAGTAATACTGGAAGTTATTTTTGTTATAAATAATCATACCTTGTAAAATGTCTGGAGATTGTATTGTGTTTCTTTGGTTGTGGGCATTTCTTCTATGATTGTGGAATTTCACTTCGTTCTCGAATAATAATTTTATATTCCAAGTCTTTTGCTGTAAATAGCAGTTTTTGTGAATTTCCCCCATGTTTACACTGAAAAAGAAATCCATCTTCCAAACATTCTTTGAGGTGTTCTCCCCCCTCAATTTCGGTCATTTTCTCTTTAATTTCATTCCCCCCCAGGACAGTTGTGAAAAAATGGTATACTCATTGAAGATCAACGACAATGGTATTCTGTTTCTTGAAATACTGCCTAGAACAGTTTTATTAGATGTTTCTAGCAAAGGAATTGCTAGGAGATACTTGTTATTTTTTTTTTCTCTCTCTATTCATTTATTAGCTCAGCTGGTAAGATATGTTAGAATTTATATTATTAATGTGTGCATGATTTTTCTGCCAACCCTGAGTAATCCCTTAACCTGCTTGCCTATTCAGGAGTGAATGAATTTGTGTATAAAACTTGTAATATGGAACATAGCACATTTTTTGTTTTATTTTTTTATACCTTTCTCTCTGTGATCACTTGTTCTAAAATTAATTCTTAGATATTTGAGTACATAATTAAAAATAATAATTATAATTCTTTCCATTTATCAGTGATCTAGATGGTCAAATACTCTTGCTCCCATTTTTTGTTTCTTTAGGATTCTGCCATAGCATCTCTATATTGGTTTCTAATTTTAAAATCTTTGTTGAACATATTATATATATGATCTGATTCGTTGTGCGAAGTATAATATGAAAGCTTTATGTAATTTTTTTTGAAATCTTTATTATGTGAGATTGTTACTTACATATTGTGTTTGCTGAATTGTCATCTACTGAGCCTCTTGGCATTATGTGAGATTGTAAGATTGTTACTTACATATTATGTAATTTTTTTTGAAATCTTTATTCTTTCTTCTTTTTTGTAGTAGTTGTGGAGTTTATGTGAAGCATTTATCGGTTATGCTTCGCTACTTCCAGGTTGCAAGTAAGTTTTGGTTCTTCATATCTTTGTCATATATTTAATGCTTGAATTATCACGGTCTGTAGGCATGTTGCCCCAACAAGCCTAAAGTTTTGGTTCTTCATATCTTTTGTCATATATTTAATGCATGAATTATCACGGTCTGTGGGCATGTTCCCCCCAACAAGCCTAAAGTTTTGGTTCATATCTTCACAGAATTTTTTTTTGTAATGGGGATATTTTTAAATGTTACTACTAGTTCATTTTTACGAAGTCCTCGTTCTTTTTTTTATCCATTACTTTTTATGGCCCCAACCTTCTTGCTTAATGTCGTTGTTTATACTTTCCTAACAGCTATGGAGCGGAATGGATGAGAATGCTGTTGGCACCTGTGCTGAACTTATATTTGCTCCTATCGATGCCTCTTTTGCTGATGATGCACATCTTTTGCCTTCTGGTTTTCGCATCATTCCTCTCGATTCTGGCAAGGTCAGCATCTAGAATTACGTTATAGTTGCTGTATTCGGCTATCATTCTCTCTCTTTTTTCTCTACTTTAAACTCTTCTTTGGACTTCCATTTATTTGATGACTTGGGACATTTTTGTTACTTCTTCTTCTTCTATTATATCCATTTCTCTTTCTATTTGATCATTTCTTTCTGATTTTTTAATTTTATGTGCATTGTAGATGGTATCAGATTAAGATTACAATGAGACGGGAGGATAATGACGACACTTGTCTCGGAATGCCAGCTAGAGTGGTTCAATACGAAGGTATTTCATTTTTATTTATTTACTTCCCAATTTGAAGTCTTTACTGAATGAATTTTGCAAGTTCACTGAATGAATTTTGCAAGTTCACTGATAGGGAAGTTGTGCCAAAAAGGAGTGAAGTTTGCAAGTTCACTATAGGTCAAATCAAGAGGAGTTTTAAAAATCTAGTTTTTGAATTTCGTTGTCCCGAAGTGTAGCAATTGGTCTTTTTGGGGGCTTAAAATAAATTTTTTTGCTCTCACTGGTCCTTGGTGTGTTCTTTCTTTCTTGACAGGTGTTATTTGGGAGTAGAGCTTCTCAAGTCTGGCAGTGAAGGAAGTGAAACCACCCTCAAAACCCTTTAGCATCACACAGATGCTATTATGTGCTGCTCTTTAAAGGTATGTGGCTTAAAATTTTCAGCTCTCTCTCTCTCTCTCTCTCTGACATGGGTCTTGAATACAGAATAGAGGGTGATATGTCACAGTTAAAAATCCCAGTTAGTTTAGACCCCTAAAATACAAAAATTAGATAGCTTTTAATTATGCTGCTTCTACAAGCTCATTATCTTTACAATTAACTGTACATGCAGGCATTGCCAGTTTTCACCTTTGCTAACCAGGCTGGTCTTGACATGCTTGAGACAACCTTGGTCGCCCTTCAAGACATTACTTTGGAGAAGATATTTGATGATCATGGAAGAAAAACTCTCTGCTCTGAGTTTCCACAAATTATGCAACAGGTTTGCAATTTTCTCTTGAATTAATAAATTGGATAAATAATAACTGAGATCAAGCAGATGAATGCCTCTTTAAGTTTCTATGAAAAGTAGCATGGTTCATCCTTTTAGTATCAACAACAATTTGTCGCAATGAATCATTCTTTATGGATGCAGAAACAAATAGAGATGTTGGTTGTTTGGTTGCTTTCAAATACTACTGAAGTCTGAAATCAATGTTATCTCAATAGCAGATCCTAGTTCAGTTAGCCATCATCTGCTTGATCTCAGTTATTATTTATCCAATTTATTAATTCAAGAGAAAATTGCAAACCTGTTGCATAATTTGTGGAAACTCAGAGCAGAGAGTTTTTCTTCCATGATCATCAAATATCTTCTCCAAAGTAATGTCTTGAAGGGCGACCAAGGTTGTCTCAAGCATGTCAAGACCAGCCTGGTTAGCAAAGGTGAAAACTGGCAATGCCTGCATGTACAGTTAATTGTAAAGATAATGAGCTTGTAGAAGCAGCATAATTAAAAGCTATCTAATTTTTGTATTTTAGGGGTCTAAACTAACTGGGATTTTTAACTGTGACATATCACCCTCTATTCTGTATTAACTGAGTTTTTTTTTGACAATCAATACAAGGGGAATAGGGGAAGCAAAGCTGCACTCGTGGCAGTAAGACTTAAACCCAAACATTACACCTACTAAGGGAGTGCCTCATCCATTAGGCCAACCCCTTCGTCCTTAGCTTAACTGGTTATTTAAACTCTGGCAAAATACAAATCTTTCAGCTTTTTGGAAGTCCAATTACCTTTTAAATTTGAAGCTGTGAATAATAAACAATTAAAAATAATAGCATAGGAAGACAATTCAAGACCCATGTCACAGAGAGAGAGACAGAGAGACAGAGTTGAAAATTTTAAGCCACATACCTTTAAAGAGCAGCACATAATAGCATCTGTGTGATGCCAAAGGGTTTTGAGGGTGGTTTCACTTCCTTCACTGCCAGACTTGAGAAGCTCTACTCCCAAATAACACCTGTCAAGAAAGAAAGAACACACCAAGGACCAGTGAGAGCAAAAAAATTTATTTTAAGCCCCCAAAAAGACCAATTGCTACACTTCGGGACAACGGAATTCAAAAACTAGATTTTTAAAACTCCTCTTGATTTGACCTATTAAATAGAGTATGCAAAGTTCAGAAATTTTGTGTTCATTGGCATCCATCTACGAACACACTATTACAATCTAATCCAATAATGCCACAAGGAAGATATAAAACTTCAAACATCAAAGTCATGCTCCACTGTACCTTCAAATGCAAATTCAAATGCTATTGTCATCACAGATCTTGTACTGCCACCATTAGAAGTATAATCATTAGATGCTTTATTTCCAGCCGGTCCAATCTCGAGAGCAGAAGCAAGGTCAAGGGTACGATTTGGACTGGAAGCTTCCTACAAAATGTCCCAGTTCATCAAATAAATGGAAGTCCAAAGAAGAGTTTAAAGTAGAGAAAAAAGAGAAAGAATGATAGCCGAATACAGCAACTATAACGTAATTCTAGATGCTGACCTTGCCAGAATCAAGAGGAATGATGCGAAAACCAGAAGGCAAAAGAGGTGCATCATCAGCAAAAGAGGCATCGATAGGAGCAAATATAAGTTCAGCACAGGTGCCAACAACATTCTCATCCATTCCGCTCCATAGCTGTTAGGAAAGTATAAACAACGACATTAAGCAAGAAGGTTGGGGCCATAAAAAGTAATGGATAAAAAAAAGAACGAGGACTTTGTAAAAATGAACTAGTAGTAACATTTAAAAATATCCCCATTACAAAAAAAAATTCTGTGAAGATATGAACCAAAACTTTAGGCTTGTTGGGGCAACATGCCTACAGACCGTGATAATTCAAGCATTAAATATATGACAAAGATATGAAGAACCAAAACTTACTTGCAAGAGAAACATGTCTCTAGGCATTATTGCATCTTCAGGACAATGTCCAACACCTTCCAGCTTAATGACCTCCAATAACTAATATCCATGAAATGAAATGTACAATCTATGTCAAAATTCCAAGTAAATATTCAAAATTTTGGAATAGATAATGAAGAGAGATAATGAATTAAGGTATGCAATAGATGCACAAAAGTGGTGTGATGGAGGTAACATGAAGTGTGATAGATGTGCGAAAAAGCTGTGTAAAAGATATACCTCATAATTGGGAAGCAATGCTTTGGGTAGCACCTCATAAGTTTAAAGAATTCAGCGCATGGAGACGCCTTGTGTTGGGAAGAAATGTTTTTTAAACATCTCGGGACAAAGTGCTACATGTATCATTTGGCATGTTTTGAAATATTGGCATATGGAGCTACCTTATTTGAAAAGTGATGCTCTTCAAACAATTAATTTTGAAAATTGGTTCTTACAAGGGAGCACCTCATAGGTTTTTGGAAAAATGTGTTCTTTGAACATCTCGTTTTATTGAAAAATAGTGCTTATAGGGGAGCATCTCATAAGGTTTGAAAACTTAGTGTACGAATCACTTTGTTTAGGGAAGCAATGTTTTCCCAATATCTCAAAAAGTGACGCTTATGGAGAAGCACCTTAGCAATGTTTTTTCAAGCGTCTCGGGAAGTGGTGCATATGGGGAAGCACCACAATTTCTCAACTCTAATTCTGGAAATTTCTAAAGGCAGTTGTGCCCTCGATTCAAAACTTACAAAACCGCGGCTCTTCCTTCTCTTTTCTTTGCTCTTCTTTTTCTTTCACTTCCAAAAACCTTCTACATTTCTCTCTAGATTTCACCCTCTCTTTCTTCATTTTCCTTCCTCTTCTTGCTCAACCATTGCCATTGGCCCACACCACTATGACCGTCAACCTCTTCTCTTCATTGTCATCGATTAGTTTGGGCCAAAACCTCCATTTTCTATTTGGATGTTCTCACTTGCTCCTTTTATCGGTGTTGTTCATTTGGGCCCTATCTCCACCGTTGTTGTCATTACTACCACTCCCCTCTTGGTAGTGCATCGCCATTGCTGGCTCTTCAGCTTCTCATTGTTGCCATCCATTATTTCCTTGAGTTTTTAGGGTTTTGGATATTCCCTTGATCATTGATCTTTGTGGAAAATGATATTTTTTTGAGCCACTCCTTTTGGGTGAGAAGGAGGAGGAGGTTGAGAATGTTCCCGATCTAAGAAACCTATCCTTTGATCCAGCTACATATGACCCTCGCTCATTTTGAGTTCATCTATGAGGTGTCTAGAGATTTATCGAATTTGCGGTTGGAGTTGCAGCTAATGTTGTGTTATAGGAGAGAGACTGCCACCTCTCCAGTCATAGTTATCCTCCATCGATAGTCCAAAACAGATATTTCTAAACAGATAAACAATTATCAATAAAGATAAATTCTTCAAACTTTCTAGAGGTGAGTGAAAATACATATTCAACTCCACCATCCTTATCAACATGATTCCAATTTCATAATTTCAATATCAATCTCATTAGTTATATAAAACCAACATTTGAGGCATTTAGGGCAAAACCCATTTTCCTTCCAAAATAAATCCCATATATCAAAACCAACCATTTATTTCCAACTCAACATTATTTACTACATCAAAATCATTTTCCATAATCCATTTGAAAAACCCCTCTTTTGATTTTTACCCAAAACCCTAGATTTGTTCTAAATCTTTCAAAATCTCAATATTGATTAGAAATAACAAATAGCCAAGTTAAAACTCATAAAAAGAGTAGGACATGAGAGAGAGAGAGAGAGAGAGAGAGAGAGAGAGAGAGAGAAGGTGAGTCTTAGAGAGAGAGGGTCTCAACTTAGGGTTTTGAAATATTTAGAGAGAGCGAGAGAGATGAAAAAGTGATATAAAAAATGACTTTTACGGATTGATATATGCGTAGACCGCTCGAGCGCAAGATGTGATGTTCGAGCGTATAGACACAAAAGATGTGACCACTCAAGCGCAAGAAGTTTTTGTTCGAGCGTGAAATATAAACTCCTAGTAGTTTTACAGACAGAAAGCCAACTCTCGAGTGCAATAAGGGCCGCTCGAGCCAAGATCGCTCAAGTGTAAGAAGTTTCGCTCAAGTGAAGAATACCACTTCCTAGTAGTTTTACAAACTTGTAAAAGTATTAAGAGTTCACAAAGATCGCTTGAGCGCTAGCTCGAGCGCAAGAAGTGACGATTGAGCGTAGGAGCAAAATTCTAGGCAACGACAGTTTGAAAAAAAAATAAGCTACCAACTTGTTCCAAATACGACCAACACAACCCAAAAGCCAAACTAAAAGGGGTATAAGGGGGAACAAGACATGAATAACTATATAAGACAATGAAATCCGAATCTAAAATGTACAATGGGTCTAGTCTAAATTAGAGACGCTATAGACACACATCCATCCAAACAACACTACACTGGATTCCAAAGTTAGCAAGATATTTTTAACTCTCCACATCAATAATAATTTCACATCAACTCAAATAAACTCAGTCATCCAAACCAACTCAAAAATAAAATAAAAAATAAAAATAAATAGCTATCATGGAAAATGATTTTGCCAACATACTCATAAGTGTGTGATTCGTCCCAATAAAATAAACTAAAATTCTAATGTGTATTGTCTCTATTCAAACTCATGAACCAATTACTTTGGACATTATAATTTTAAATTTTGTAAGGTGTATGAACAAAATTTCACTTGTTATCTTTGTTAAAGAATTAGGAAGTATGCAAAAAATCCAAAGAACAGCCACAACAATTCACCAACAATTGACGACAATATGTGATTTAAGCAAAAAAAAGTGTTAGGTTTTTATTCTTGGCAATCCCGTTTGACAGAACTCCTTTCAGTTGTACTTATTTTTGCACTTTTTATTTCAGTGAGATTATGAGTGTTTAGATGCGAATCCAACCCAAATTGTGCCTTGCAGAGAAATTTGTGATGTTAATTCTTTCAAGATTGCCACTTCGCTAATTATGACGGGGGTCGAGCTGCCTGGTCAGCTCGCGGGGTCGAGGGGCAGCGCCCCCGAAGCAAAATGCAAAAATGCATTCAAAGGTGCCTGTCCGCTCGAGCGGACATTCCCCCGCTCGAGCGGAGAATGCTGAGTTCCAGAAGTTTGGTGAGTCTGCAAATATACTGTGATCCGTGTTTTCACGCTCGAGCGTCTATTTCCCCGCTCGAGCGTACATTCTGGTTTGGAACACGTCATAGAGTGTCCCCGCTCGAGCGTCCATTTCCTCGCTCGAGCGTACACCCTAGTGTGGAACACACAATATAGAGTCCCCGCTCGAGCGTCCATTCCCACACTCGAGCGGACCTCGCGATTTCAGATTCTATAAATTCACAAGTTACTACAAATCTAGGATTACGCCTCCAAATCTTCTTTTTGGGTTCTAGGGTTTATATCTGGGAATATTTTGCTAGTTTTCTTTGATGTTTTGATTGAGTATTCAACTCATGGTTTAAAGAGTATACATCAAAGGATTATTTGTTTGTTCTACACAAAAGAGAGAGTTGTTCTTCGGGGGATTCTGAAGAATTTGAGCCTGAAGCTTTGGTGGATTCGGGAGTGGCTCATCGTCAAGACAATTCCGAGGTGAAGACGAGGTTGGAAGAGGCAGATAGGAGTTGGTTCAATTCGGGCGTGGATTCGCTAGGTAATTGAGAGTATACCTGTGTAATTCCTTTATATCTTCTTAGTGGATTGTTTTGTGGCTATTGCCTGTGGTTTTTTATCACAATTGGAGGTGTCCAATTGTGGTTTTTTCACGTAAAATTGTTGTGTCGATTTATCTTGATTGTTTGATTGGGATTGTTATATACTGCTTAAAATTGATACATAATCACAAATCAACATCTAGGAGATTTCTAGATTTTTCAATTAGTATCAGAGCAGGTCGTTCTATTTTTTTAAAAAAAATTCGTTTAGAACGAGATCTTGTTTGATTTGTGATAATGGATACAATTCGTGAGGGAAATTCTATGGTTCGACCACCTCTACTTGACGGATCCAATTATTCTTTTTGGAAAGCTTGGATGAGATCATTTTTAAAATCTATTGATGAAAAAGTTTGAAAATCTATCATGTATGGGTGGACTGAACCAACGATTTCCGTTGATGGAGTACCTTTCCCCAAACCAATTGATAAGTGGGACACAATTGATTACCAAAATAGTAGCTGAAATAGTAAAGCTATCAATTCTCTCTTTTGTGCTATCACACCTGAAGAGTTTAGTCATATTTGTAATTGTGAAGTCGCAAAAGAGGCTTGGGATATCTTACAAACTATTCATGAGGGCACTCCTTCTGTTAAACGCTCAAAACTTCAAAGGCTCACGTCTAGTTTCGAAAACCTTTCAATGAAAGATGGTGAGACCTTTGATGAATTTTATGCAAAGTTGAGTGACATTGTTAATTCCAGCTTCAATTTAGGTGAAAAAATACCAGAATCCAAAGTTGTAGGAAAAATTTTGAGATCCTTGCCCGATCGGTTCCAACCAAAAGTTACGGCTATTGAGGAGGCTCAAGATGTTGACAACCTCAAGCTGGATCATCTGGTTGGAAATCTGCAAACTTATGAGGCACATAGGAATTTTAAAAAGAAACAAAAAGATGCTATTGCTTTTAGTAGTACTCATAGAGTTGGAGAGGATTCTGATGAGGATTGTAGATAGATTCCAAGATTACGGCTGCTTTTGTTAAACAATTTAAAAAATCTTTTGTGAAAAAGAATCCTAATCTTTTGGAATCTACTCATACTCATAAATCTAAAGGCAAAGATAAACTCAAAATTAATTCTATAGCCAAGAAGGAGAAAGGAAAGATACAAGGGAACTCTGAAAGAGCCAATGCTATGAATGCCAAGGATTTGGCCACTTTTGCTTCAAAATGCCCCACTCGTTTGAAGAAGAAGAAAGCCCTCGCTATCACTTGGGATGATGAATCAGAAATCTGATGAAGATGAAGTGACAACTGAAGATCAGACGAAGAGGGACATAAATAATCCTTGCTTCCATGGCGGTTTCCGAAACTGAAGGAGAACAGAGTATCTGAAGAAGCTGGTTGAGAATA